GATTCATAACAGTAACAACATTACAGTTATGAAGTAGCAACGAAAATAATTTTATGGTTGGGTCACAACATGAGGAACTGTATTTAAAGGGCCAGATGTTCTCACTCTGAGATAGAGGAAGACATAAACAAATGGAAGAATATACCGTGGTCATGGATTGGTAGAATCAACATCATTAAAATGTCTATACTTCACAAAGCAATCTATAGATTCAATGTAATCCCCATTAAGATACCAATGGAATATTTCACCTACCTAGAACATACTCCAAAAATTCATCTGCAAAAAAAAACAAAACAAAAAAACCCTGAATAGCTGCAGCAACCCTGAGAAAAAAGGACAATGTTGGAGGGATCACAATACCAGATATCAAGCTATATTACAAAGCCACTGTTTTCAAAACTGCCTGGTACTGGCACAAGAACAGATATATAGATCAATGGAACAGAACAGAGAACCCAGAAATCAACCCAAGCCATTATGCTCAATTAATATTTGACAAAGGAGGCAAGAGCATACAATGGAGTCAAGATAGTCTTTTCAATAGTGTTGGGAAAATTGAAAAAAATGAAACTAGACCACCAACTTACACCATACACAAAAATAAACTCAAAATGGATAAAGGACTTAAACATAAGATTGGAAACCATAAAAATCTTAGAAAATCCATAGGCAGCAAAATATCAGACATATGTCATAGAAATATTTCCACTGGTACAGCTCCTAAGGAGAAAACAAACACATGGGACTACATCAAAATAAAGCTTTTACACAGCAAAAGAAACCATCAACAAAACAATAAGAAAGCCCACTGCATGGGAGAACATATTTGCCAATGTTATCTCCGATAAGGGTTTAATTTCCAAACTTTACAGGGAACTTATACAACTTAACAAAAGGAAGATAAACAATCCAATCAAAAAATGGGCAAAGGCCCTAAATAGACACTTTTCAAAAGAGGAGATACAGAAGGTTGAGAGACACATGAAAACATGCTCAAAGTCACTAATCATCTGAGAGATACAAATCAGAATGACAATGAGGTACCATCTCACACCTATCAGGATGGCTACTATCAACAAATCAACAAGTGCTGGCGAGGATGTGGAGAAAAAGGAACCCCCTTGCACTGCTGGTAGGAATGCAGACTGGTGCAACCACTCTGGAAAACAGTATGGCGTTTTCCAAAAAAATTAAAAATGGAACTCCTATTTAACCCAGTAACCCCATTTCTAGGAATATACAAAGAAATCAGAAACACCAATCAGAAAGTATATATGCATCCCTATGTTCATAGCAGCACAATGTACAATAGCTAAGATTTGGAAATAGCCTAAGTGTTCATCAGCAGGTGAATGGATTAAAAAACTGTGATACGTCTACACAGTGGAATACTATGCTGCTGTAAAAAAGAAGGAACTCTTACCATTTGCAACAGCATGGATGGACCTGGAGAGCATTATGCTAAGTGAAATAAGCCATTTGGAGAAAGATACATATAACTTGATCTCCCTCATTTGTGGAATATAATGAATACCTAACATAAACTCAATATAAAAATAGAGCCAGAGGAAAAAAATATGTTAGAACATAATTGAAGTAATCCTGTTATTTGCAGATTTTTAATATTTCCTACAACTTTTGTGATATTATACTATGTTAGTACAGTTTTGGTAATATTAAAAATCTTTTTTTCTTGAAATATTAATGTTTATTGCATGTAAATGGCTAATTATTCTGTATCTATAATCTGGTAATAGTTTTATTTCCTATATTTAAAAAATCAAATAAAATAAAGAAAAAATATATATATTTTAAAAATAAAAAATTATAAGGAAAGTTTAGTCCAGCATGCATGGCCCAGTGGTTGAGCGTTGACCTATGACCAGGAGATCATGGTTTGATTCCCAGTCAGGGCACATGCCCAGGTTGTCTGCAGGCTTGATTCCCAGTATAGGCGTGCAGGAGGCAGCCGATCAATGATTCTCATAACTGATGTTTCTCTTTTCTCCCTCTTCTTTCCTCTCTGAAATCAATACACACACACGCACACACTCCTTTTTATAAAGGAGAGTTTATTTAGAAAGTTACAGAGGTGGAAGAAGTGACTCTGGCTCAGGAAACAAGTTACAGAAACAGAGGAAGAGCCCTTGGAACTTAGGAACTTATACTTAATGAAGAAAGACAATGTTTTCCCCCTAAAATCAGAACAAGACAAGGATGTCTGTCCTCAATCTTTATTCAACATTGTACTGGAGTTTTCAGCCATTAGAAATTAATATGTAACCTAAAGTATGGAGGCATGGAACAGATTGAAATACTTTGATGTGGGGGTGGAAGGATGAGGAGAGATAAACCAAAGAACTTACAGACTTATATGCATAGCCCATGGACAGGGGCAATATGAGTAG